TTGCAGGGTTTGGCTATGTCTGCCCAGGCTGGTCTTGAACTCCTAGACTCAAGCGATCCTCCCACCTCAGCCTCTCAAAGTACTAGGATTACAGGCATGAGCCGCCCCACCTGGCCTGGTTAGTTTTAAGAGACAGAGCCTCACTCTGTTGCCCAGGCTGGATTTGAACTCCTGGGCTCAAGCAATCCTCCTGCCTTAGCTTCCCTAGTAGCTGGCAGTACAGGCGAGTGTCACTGAGTCTGGCTTCCTTTAGTTTTTAAACCTACAGCTATATTCTCTCTATCTTCGTTTGGCTTGATTTTTCTCCTTGGTCCTTGTCACTTTCCAATATAGGATACATTTACACTGTTCTTTTCTTTCTTTTTTTTTTTTTTTTAAACGGGGTCTTACTCTGTTGCCCAGGCTGGAATGCAATGGCATGATCTCTGCTCACCGCAACCTCCGCCTCCCGGGTTCAAGCAATTCTCCTGCCTCAGCCTCCTGAGTAGCTGAGATTACAGGGGCTCACTACCATGCCTAGCTAATTTTTGTTTTTTTAGTAGAGACGGGGTTTCACCATGTTGGCCAGGCTGGTCTCAATCCCTGACCTCAGGTGATCCACCCACCTTGGCCTCCCAAAGTGCTAGGATTACAGGTGTGAGCCACCGCTGCACCTGGCCCCCTGTTTGTTTTTTTGAGACAGGGTTTTACTCTGTCACCAGGCTGAACTGCAGTGGTGCAATCTCACCTTACTGCAACCTCTGCCTCCTGGGCTCAAGTAACCCTCTCACCTGAGCCTCCTGAGTAGTTGGGACTACAAGTGTGAGCCACCACACCCTGTTCATTTTTGTATTTTTTGTAGAGTTGGGGTCTCGCTATGTTGCCCAGGCTGGTCTGGAACTCCTGGGTTCAAGTCATCTGCCCACCTCCCATAGTGCTGGGATTACAGGTGTGAGCCGCAGCACCTGGCATGGTACATGTTTGTTGAATGACTCTGTAGAATAATGGAGCAATCATATATTCCGAGCACTGGTGACCCAACCTGCTCTTCCTGACACTTTGTGCCCCTGGGCAAGCTCCTACTCCTCCCATGGGGCTGAACTGGATGATATCAGAGCTCATTTCCTCTCCCAGGGCCTTATGTGTGGGTCCTCTCTGACCTTCATCTCTTCCTCCCTAGGACACAGCAGGGCAAGAGCGGTACCGGACCATCACCACCGCCTACTACCGGGGCGCTATGGGCTTCATTCTCATGTATGACATCACCAATGAGGAGTCCTTCAATGCAGTGCAGGACTGGTGAGTGCATCCCACTTGCTCTTTTTTCTTTTCTTTTCTTTTCTTCCTCTTCTCTCCTCTCCCCTCCCCTCCCCTCCCCTCCCCTCCCCTCCTCTCCTCTCCTCTCCTT